TGTCATTGGCCATTGCCTCAACTACCAAGCAGATTGTGCCCATTGTAAGAGTGTTTATATCATAACGTTTATATTAAGTCCATTGTATACTTTATTAATCTTTACAAATTGGTGCCATCTCTTCCTGTTCCAACAGTACGTGATATCTGTCCACACCTCACAGTCTGCCTTTCTTTCCATGTTGATTTTTATTGAACGCATCTGTCTAAGAAGCAAGAGTCTGGAAATGCTAGTTTAACTTGTCACGTGCTACAAATCAGATCTTCAATTAACTTTGCCAAATCAGATCACTTAAAGCTGTTCACACCAAGAACAAGAACTATAATGAGAACTATTTTAGCATCCACACCAACAGACGATACTGTTCTGTTTATTATAAGCATGCACTGTGGTTATGTTGTCTGCCATAAAATGCTCAAGCTCTTTAAAGTCTGGTGGATTCTGATTGGCTGTCAATGTTTTTATTGTTCATTAGCTGGAAAAATATAATTGTTCTGAAAGAGATTCCAACGATATTGTTCCTGTTTGTCATAAAATGTTAACTCTGAAATGTTCCTTTCATTCTGTTAAAATTACACACAAAATTCTGCCTTTCTCTGCATCTTTTCCCTTTACTCCCTCACTCACTTACACATTCTTTTATGCTCTGTTGTAAGGTAGAAACTGAGAGTTTGCATGATGGCCTTTTCTCAGACTCTGAATCTGATGTATACAGATGAACTCAGGAGCCTGCGAGAGCCAGGAAACTTGAGCTTGAAGTGTATAATTATAACTGCTTCATTTTATATGTTTAAACAACAATAATAATTAAACATGGGGTCAATAATATTTTCTTGTTTTACAGCTGAAGACCAAAAACACAAAGAAAATCATATTCTGCACCCTGACATTCTGTTTGCACTAATTCATACCGTGCTGCACTGCAAAGGTATATGTGTACTGTGATTTATTATTGTTTTAATTTCATGAGCTCTATAGCATAATATTTACCATACATTGTTCTCTACCTGTATTGAGTCCCTTATATATGTGTTGCATATATACAGTGGGTACGGAAAGTATTCAGACCCCCTTAAATTTTTCACTCTTTGTTATATTGCAGCCATTTGCTAAAATCATTTAAGTAAATTTTTTTCAAGACTTTCACCACCTGTACACTTGCGTTCATGGTATTGTGACAATAAAGTGATTTGATTTGAATTGGTCACATGTCTTTTGTTCATCAGTTGTGCTGCATAACAACTGCAAATTTTGTATGACATGGCAGAAAATTATGATAGGGACATGGATAAGCAAGAAGAGGAAGCAAACCAGGAGAGCTCTGATGATGAGAAGAAAACTGGACGTGATTCTTTGGTGCTCAAAACATTTCACCATGCATGCATTTGGGTGGCTTCATCTGATTAAAATAACATGGTTTTAACATAACCCATTTTTATTTATCTTGAATATAATTTGACTTAATACACTACTTTAGCTGTCTTTATGCTGTATCCTCCAGTAAAGTATTGCACATGGTGTTGGATATTAAAGTATGGTGAATATTCTGTATTAGGCATAGTGTTTGGTAAATACACCATTTAATTTAGTAAACAATACACATAATTCCCATGAGTGTTTTAATTAAGACATGAACATTTGGTCATATTAATGACATTCAGTTAGATGAAGGGCAGGCTGAAAGCTGCATTAGAAGAGACTGCATGGACTATATTGCTGCAGGCACTTCATGCACAACTGAGGATGATGCACCAGGGAAAGATCAACATGAATCCTGTACTGTACTATTAGCAAGATGAGCATGCACCTTACTGATGTTTAGCACCTGAGGAGGACAAAGATGAGGAATATTTGACACAGAGACACAAATTAAGTTTTTTATATTATGATTACTTTGCATTGCATAAATTGTATGGCTTTTGCACCATAAACCACACACTGGTACCTTGTCTTACTGAATGACACGACTTTGTGTGATAGTACAATGAAGTGTCAGTATGTACTGGTTGTTTAAATTGGTGTCTTTGTTTACTGTCAACACTGTATTCTTGCTCCTGATCTAATTAAATAAATGGTGCCCATTCCAAAAATCTTTTTGTGGGTCTATTCTTATTCTAAGATAACCATGACTTGCAACTTACATATTGGCAAGTTGTTGAAAAGACAATCTTAAAAATGTGACTCGGCGCAGTTTGTTGTCCATGATGAGAATAGATCCGTGTATGATTTACTGCCCTTCCATCCCCAGGGGCCCAGTAGAGGCCCCTGGAAGAGCAAAAAAATTTAGCAATTCAAATGGCTGTAAATCAAAGTCCGATTATAGTTTTAAAGAGAAATTTGGCAGGACAGCTACTTATGCCATGTTAACGAAATAATGTTGGACAGAGTTTTCAAACATATATGGAAAGGTGGAATAAAGGTGTTTAAAAAAGTGCTCTTAGCAAAACACCAAATTTCAGCCTGCCTCTTAAATGTCATAAATGTTTGCACAATGAACCTGTTTAGATGACCCTTTGTTCAAAAAAAGATTGTATTTTCCCTCATTTTATACTACATTACCCATAAGCCTCTGCCATTCTATTGCTAGACCGCGAAAAAAAAAAGTGGCGCTGGTATTTGTAGTTCAAATTATGAAGTTATGCTTAGGGTTACGATCTCGGTAAAGAGGTAATTTCTCACGACACTTCATTGTTAACTGAAGGTATTACTGACGTAATAACAGCAAAACGGACTTTGCAACATAAAGCGGTTTTTAATTTGGGTTAAAAGATAGTCCAATCACAGCGAGTTCTGCGAATGCCAAGGGACCTTCAAAGCCAATGGCAACCCAGTTGAGCAGAGGCGTCACACTTGTCCATATGTGGTCATTTATGACAGGATCTTCTAGTTGTGGAGGGATTCTTTTGGCCCATACCTCCAACAAACTCCAACAAGAATCAATGGTAAGTCCTGAGCAACAAATAGAAATAAAAATACTGTATATTGTTTACTGATTTACCACACCCTAAATACATGTTTTGTCTCTCCAGGACATCTACACCAGGTGGTGTGTGAGGAGGACCGTCAGAGACTCCAGCCGCCCGAGCCATGGACTGCTCTCACCGTTACCATCATGCAGGTGTTATCGCAGAACCTGCACCAGCAGACAGAGAGACAAGTTCTTTCCACAGACAATCAGACTGAACTGAACTCGTACCAATAACACCACACAGCACACCCCACCAACCTCATATGCACTGCACTCTATCAGTTACGCACTGACGTAATAACAGCAAAACGGACTTTGCAACATAAAGCGGTTTTTAATTTGGGTTAAAAGATAGTCCAATCACAGCGAGTTCTGCGAATGCCAAGGGACCTTCAAAGCCAATGGCAACCCAGTTGAGCAGAGGCGTCACACTTGTCCATATGTGGTCATTTATGACAGGATCTTCAGGGTTGTTGTGGCGAAGGGACAGAATCTGTTAAATATGTATTTGTCCCCAGTTAATATAAAACTGCAACAGATTGCATCGTTGGGTTAACCTGATGCAGCAATAGATTTGTTGATTACAATGATTTTTTCAACAAGGGCATAATGGTTCCCATTGTATAGGCTACATTGTTTACACTAATATTAATGTACAATATTTAAACTCAAGTTCGCATATACTGTGTAAAAAAAAAATAAATAGTCAAAATGTTTCATTTGCTTACAAATCCCCCCCACCTCTGAGGATTATTCAAACATGCAGTATTTTTCTACTATTACATTTTGCTTCTTTAACATGTACAGTGTATTTAAGGTAAACAATTAATCACTTCTATGTTTCCTAGAAATGGACCCTACAAACTTGCCATTCTTAGATCTGCCAGTTGAACTATAGAAACAAATACAAACAACATAATGAATCACACATTTTGTAGTCATTTTTCAATGTTCATTGATATGTCAAACTTTTCCCAGATAAACAGTGCCCAGAACAGCAGTCTCTCCAGTTATGTACAATATTTAAACTCAAGTTCGCATATACTGTGTAAAAAAAATAAATAGTCAAAATGTTTCATTTGCTTACAAATCCCCCCCACCTCTGAGGATTATTCAAACATGCAGTATTTTTCTACTATTACATTTTGCTTCTGTAACATGTACAGTGTATTTATAGTGTATTAAAGGTAAACAATTAATCACTTCTATGTTTCCTGGAAATGGACCCTACAAACTTGCCATTCTTAGATCTGCCAGTTGAACTATAGAAACAAACAAAAAAACAAACAAACAAAAAACATAATGAGCGACACATTTTGTAGTCATTTTCCAATGTTTATTGATATGTCAAACTTTTCCCATATAAACATAGTGCCCAGAACAGCAGTCTCTCTCCAGTTTGTGCCACTATGAAAAGAATGAGAACAAACAAAACAAACAACAACAACAACTGTTGATTATGTATTTGCATAGAGGTAACTAAGAAAAACGCAACAGAAAACCCCTTTAAAAACAGTCTAATATTCAAAAATAAAAAGAGAATGTTTACAGAAATCGTGACAAAAGATGCCAAACAATATTCAAGGCTCCAGTTGAAAATATATTATTTTCTTCCCTTTAACAAACGAAAAAAAATAATTAAGAACAATGCTTCAATATTTTACAATTATTACCTTTAAAAATATATCTCCTGTAATCACTGTTTGCTTCTATTGTGACTAAATGCAAGACAAATTAATGGTTAATTATAATGATTAAAGTCAACCATTTTTAGCAAGAATATGAAATGAAATATATAGTGATAGGAATGCTTCTAGTAGAGATGGGAGTGATGACTGTAGAGGAGAAATTAATACAAGTAGACATGAAAAACAGTCTAATATTCAAAAATAAAAAGAGAATGTTTACAGAAATCGTGACAAAAGATGCCAAACAATATTCAAGGCTCCAGTTGAAAATCTATTATTTTCTTCCCTTTAACAAACGAAAAAAAAAAAACAATGCTTCAATATTTTACAATTATTACCTTTAAAAATATATCTCCTGTAATCACTGTTTGCTTCTATTGTGACTAAATGCAAGACAAATTAATGGTTAATTATAATGATTAAAGTCAACCATTTTTAGCAAGAATATGAAATGAAATATATAGTGATAGGAATGCTTCTAGTAGAGATGGGAGTGATGACTGTAGAGGAGAAATTAATACAAGTAGACATGCTAAGACTGGAAGTTGGCAGTAAAGGACTGAGAGCAGATGTGCCACACGTGAGAAAGAGATGTGGAAGCTTTTGGAAGGGCTGATATTGTTGAGAGCTGATGGAGAAGGACTAAGTAATCTGTGAGAAATCCTGCAAGGAACAAAGAGAATGTATCACATGAACAACAAACTGACAACAACAAATGGCAGACAACAACATACTGTAACTGCAGCATGCATCACAGTAAACAGAACAGTATTGTCTGTTGGTGTGGATGCTAAAAGAGTTCTCATAGTTATTGCTCTTGGTGTGAACAGCTTTAAGTGATCCGATTTGGCCAAATTAATTGAAGATCTGATTTGTAGCATGTGACAAGTTAAACTACCATTTCCAGACTCTTGCTTCTTAGATGCGTTCAATAAAAAACAACATGGAAAGAAAGGCAGACTGTGAGGTGTGGACAGATATCACATACTGTTGGAACAGGAAGAGATGGCACCAATTTGTAAAGATTAATAAAGAATACAATGGACTTAATATAAACTCTTACAATGGGCACAATCTGCTTGGTAGTTGAGGCAATGGCCAATGACAGCAGTAGGAGTAAAAGTCGTAGAATTTTGTACGAGTAAGCTTGTGCAATATCATATGAATTTGCTGACTTGGTAAATTGTATGAATTACTACTACTTCAACATGACACTTTTCTGGGGGGGCCGTGGGTTGTGTAAACCAAAGTTTAAGAAACATCAAATGCTCTGCAAAATGTCTCCGCAGTAAAGTTCAGTCAAAGTGCTCAGACGTACCATTGGAAGTGTTTGCCTTTGTAGCTTTTGGTCTTCTCCATAAACGCACAAGATGGTCAAATTCAAATCCCATGACAGGCCTTCCTTTGGTCTTCCCTTTCAGCTGAAATTAAGGGAAATGTATACATGTTGAGACAGTGTTTTAAATTATCTGTGACCAAAATATTTGATTAACATAATATAAGGATGCGTTCATTAAAGCAAATCAGTTTTAACTAAATGTCTTCAACATTACCTGTGAAGGACTTGTTCAGCCTCCTTGACAGCTTCTTCAAGATCAGCATTGGGAGCGTCGAGTTGAAGTTCCCTGTTAATTCTAGCAGAGAGCGAGAGCGAAAAACTACAGTTACTGTGGTAAACATCATGGTAAATAATGTGGTTATTATGCTTTAGTAACTACAGATACCACAGTAAAACTACGATTACTGAGGTAACGTTAAGCCCATAGTAAATGTTGTGGTTATTATGCTCATATGACAAGGTCGAGCAACAGTTAGGCTACTGTGGTAAAAATATGGTAAATGTGTGGACTTTTACATGATCACGATTATCACACGATACCGGGTTGGTTGATTTATTGTCTAAAAGCTGAAGACCCTTGTCACACCATGATTAAAAACGGTTGTATTTATTTCAAACTGCAACAGGTCTATATACAGTAGAAGTTAGCTTAGGCTAATGGCAATGGTAGGCTAGCAGCTGTGTTAACTGAGCAGACCACTGTTCCATAATTTGAACGCATGCGCTGCCATTTTAACACATGACCCCATGTAACGTGATGCAGAAACACTGAAATATTTAAAATAATACCTTAACCACATGATCTAATTACAAAAAAAGATCGTTGCCCTTACCTGTTTGAAGGTGTACGCCATCAGGTGAACTGCAGGAACTGAGCCTCGCTGGTGACGTCACTGCAATTGAAGATGACGCGTGGTATTTGTACGCATCTGCTCTCCACTGAAGTTAATGTGAAGGATTGGCGTATCATATGCACGCAATATTGGCATTTAGCTTATGCATTACGCAATTAGAAAGTGTAAAGCCGTGTTATTTATACGCAGACTGATGAGAACGGGTTGGTTTTTGTTCGGTTGACGTGTCACGATTCAAATTCGTTCAAAATGTAATATAATTTAACAAAATAAATTATAAATAAATACACAAAATAATTCGGGACCAACCAAACTGTAGTGATGTTACGTTCGTGAACGATTCGTTCACCTAAAAGATTAGTTCAAAAAGAGCGATTCGTTCACGAACGTAACCATACGGTTTATCACTTCACATTCTCGTTCACTGATATTCCTCCCTCCATAGCAGCGGGGCTATTAGCAGCGCATGCGCAGATCAGTGAACCGGGTAGCTGTCAAAAGACATACGGTCAAAGAACGACTGAACCTCGAGCCAATAGCCTTCGAGTATGAGATGTGACGGAGCATGTGATTTGAATGTAGTGAATGAATACGCCCGTCACTGAACAAGATCTTCTCGTTAGTGAACGAAATGACCGAACTGGTACATGTCGTTCATGAACGAGTTGAATGAACTGGTACATCTCATTCGGCGTTGCAAAGTCCACGGTTTTCCTGCAGAATTGGGCTACTTTAACACGGTTGCCGCGGGTTGTTTTTCATGTCCACTGGTTGAAGCGCCCAATAACATGATATTCAGCCCCTGAAATGCGAATTTTACAGGAGGAACCCTGCCGAACATTTGTATTTCTCCCCCGGAACGCGATTTTTACCGGGGAACCCCCCTTGAAATGAGATTGGGGTACTTTTGGGCTAGTTTTGAGTAATAATTGGGCGGGTTTTGTTGTGAAAACCTGGCAACCCTGATCTCGTTTGTGAATGAAATGACTGAACTGGTACATGTAGTTCGTGAATGAAATGTGTACCGGGTCAGTCGGCCATTTAGCATGTCATCTCGATCAGCAGTCAGCAGAAGCAAAGCACAGTTATAGGTATGTGCACATACGCTTGTTTATACATTCATATTTAGCATACAGAACATAACTCCACGTTTAATCCCCGATTTATGAATGTGTACGTCTGACCAAACAATTAAATTGTTAATTTTGCAAGAAACCCTTGTGCTTTGGTCATCTGAACAATTTTAGACTTTAATGATCATGCACATTTGAATAAAGCCAAATAATTTTTTTTGCAAGCGGCAACCTTCCGGTCTCGCTCATGAAACCAACACGGAAGTGACTAAAACTGCAATTCATCAACTGACCGCTTAGAGGCTTGGCTCCAAAAGGGAGTCCGTCCCATAGCAGCTCACAGTCAGCTGCCTCACTCAGAAAGACGATCACGGTCATATTTTCACATTTAGAAAGGTGCGAAAGTTTCATTGGCCAGTTTCCTGGATGACAGCCAGATTAACCAATCATGACCAAAGCAATAAAGGTAAAACGACCAAATAGGAATTGTTTCAGCGTGGTAACAGCAAAATGAATTTAGTTTTATTGTTGTTCATGATAATATTTTAACATACCTTTAGATTTTAGAATGGGTTTCATGATCAATATTGTAAAATACTAAAAATATAATGATACATATCTTGTTTAAAAAAAAAAAAAAACCAACGTTGACTTACGAGCGTTTAACCTTTTTCAACCATTTAGCAT